TCTGGCAATGCGTGCGCGGCATTCAACACGCGCTCGCCAGTTCCCGTCGGCAACCGCCATCGCGGCCGCATCAGCTGTACCAAACCGGCTGGCCGGTGTGACTTCGGCCCCCAGTTGTGCCAGCTTTGCTTCTTATGTTGTGGGAGGGCGGGTGGGACTGGGCATGCCATGCTTGACTCGCTCGAGCTGGCTAGCTTGACTCCTATCCTTATTCCTTATTAGAATATACTCCTACTCCCCCCTCAGGCCGGCCGATAGGGGCCGCATCCGGGTGGTCCCATCCTAACCTGTAAAAAACAATACAAAATCAACATTTTTCTTATTTTTTCCTCTCGACATGGACGTCCTGTCGTCCACGGCGATAATCCATTGCAAAAAATACCACAAAGAGCACACGCGCGCGTTCATGTCAGAATCCTACCGAACACCGTGTGTTTGCAAGCATTTCAACATAAAAACATCAAAAACCCAATGCTTTTTCACAAAAATTGTACAAATTTCCCGCCCGGGCTCTCTTGCTGAAATCATAGGAAAACCATAGGAATCTTAAGAATTCGGTCAAATCCAGCGATTTCACGTCATCGCGCGGTGCACTCGCGATGCTCTGTCATGCACCCAGGCCGCGAATCCTGTGCAAAAAATACCACAAAGAGCACACTCGCGCGTTCATGTCAGAATCCTACCGAACACCGTGTGTTTGCAAGCATTTCAACATAAAAACATCAAAAACCCAATGCTTTTTCACAAAAATGCTTTGGGGTGTCCTGTCAGACCGTCGGGCTTCCTCCGGCCACCTCTGGCTTCCTGCGGTGTACCGGGCCATTCTCGACTCGTCTGGCAATGCGTGCGCGGCATTCAACACGCGCTCGCCAGTTCCCGTCGGCAACCGCCATCGCGGCCGCATCAGCTGTACCAAACCGGCTGGCCGGTGTGACTTCGGCCCCCAGTTGTGCCAGCTTTGCTTCTTATGTTGTGGGAGGGCGGGTGGGACTGGGCATGCCATGCTTGACTCGCTCGAGCTGGCTTAGCTACTCCTACTCCTACTCCTACTCCTGCTCCTGCTCCTGCTCCTGCTCCTGCTTCTGCTCCTCCTCCTCCTCCTCCTCCTCCTCCTCCTCCTCCTCCTCCTCCTCCTCCTCCCTCCTCCCACTATTGCCTCTGCCCTCCGCATGTCCATTTCGGCACACCCCTCACACGTTTCGTGCCACCATTTGGAGCTCCACCGACGGCACCAGTGACAGGGTTTGCATGCGGTTCCACCCTCATTTCGGCACACCTCTCATACGTTTTGTGGCCCCATATGGAGCTCCACCGAAGGCCCCAGTGGCAGGGTTCGCATGCGGTTCCATTCTAAGTTCGGCGCACCCCTCGCACGCTTCGTGGCCCCAAAGGGAGCTCCACCGAAGGCCGCAATGGCAGAGTTCGCATGCGGTTCCACCTTCATTTCGGCACACCCCTCACACGCCTCGTTCCCCCGTCAAGGCTCCACCGACGGCCCCAGTGGCAAGGTTTGCATGCGGTTCCACCCGTATTTCGGCACACCCACTCACACCTTTCGTGCCCCTGTAGGGGGCTCCACCGTGTGGCCCAGTGGCAGGGTTCGCATGCGGTTCCACCCCCATGTCGGCGTACCCCTCGAACGTTTTGTGCCCCACTAGGGAGCTCCACCGGAAGCATCAATGGCAAAGTTCGTATGCGGTTCCACCCCTATTCCGGCGCATCCCTCACTTTCGTGGCCCATAAAGGGGGCTCCACGACGGCCGCAATGGCAGGGTTCGCGTGCGGTTCCACCCCCATTTCGGCACACCCCTAACACGCTTCGTTTTCATATATAGAGAGCTCCACCTAAAGCTGCAATTGTAAGGTTCGCATTCGTTTTCACCCACAACTCGGCGCACACCTCATACATTTCGTGGCCCTATATGGGGCTCCTCTGAAGGCCCTAGTGGCAGGGTTCTCATGCGGTTCTATGCCAATTTCGGCACACCCCTCGCACGCCCCCATAGGGAGCTCCACCGAAGGCCCCAGTGGCAGGGTTCGCGTGTGGCTCCACATCCATTTCGGCACACGCCTAACACGCGTCGTGCCCCGGAAGAGATTTCCGCTGGAGTCCCCAGTGGCAGGGTTCGCATGCAGTGTTCCAACCGCCCCCCCATTTCAGCACACCCCACACACGTTTCGTGTCCCCATGGGGAGTTTCGCCGAAGACGATATTCACAACTGTGGCACCACAGCTGCATATGGTTGGGCCCTCCGCCAGGATAAATTATTCACCCGTTATGTACCACCGTTAACAGGTGGGAAAGAAGCAAACACAGGCAATTGTTTATCTTTGGCATTCGCTGGACAACAGACGTTGGGCCTGCGGCCTCCATTCTATGTGGGCGAAGCTCTGGGAGTCCTCGTCCCTGGAACCACGCGTAGAAAGCCATACGATTCATTCGTCTACACCTGTCCTCGACTCCCCCCCAGCCAAGACGCTTGCCCTGCGCCGTCGCCAATTTCCTTCGTTCGGCCGTGCTTTGACTGTCCCCAGTCGTGGTGCTTGCTTTGCGCCGTCGGCAGTTTCCTTTGGCCCTGTACCCTGTACCCAGCTGCCCAGGGCCGTCGCCAACTTCCTTCGTTCGGCCGTGTCCTCTATGTGACGGGGGAGACTCTTACCGCGGCCCCAAACTTCCGAATTTCTAATCCTCCAGTTCCCATGTCCTCGAGATCCAAAGCTCCCTTTCCTCAAGCTCGCTGTCGCCAACTCTGTTCGGCCTGGCCCCCCGAAGCTCCCTGTCCTCGGCTGGAGCGCAACGTATCCCGATTGAGAAGCCAATCCTCGCGGAAACCTGGCCAACATCGGGCCCTCGAGCCCCCTTCGTATCGAGCGACACCCGTCTGCACCTGTGAGAGGAGCCCCCAGGAGAGGGCTTCGAGAAACACGCGCAAAGGCTCGGAGGCGAGCCCGTCATCACTCCATTGGGAAAGGTCCTACACACGGCCACGGCCTATCATTTCGGGGCACCTGCTGAGCGCTCACTGCAACTACCTCCAGGGTGCCTAATACTGCCACCCCCCGAAGCGGCTTCTGATGACCCGTAAGGGTCTCCACTGCCGATTGACTGCCAACCCACAGGCATCCCCACGGTCACCCCGAGTGCCTTCCCGCTGGCCCCCCCCCCTCCCTACTGCCAACTCACTGCCAACTCCACTACCAACCCACTGCTAACCCACTGCCAATCCCCACCGCCAACCCAGTCCAATCCACTACCAACCCGCTGACTGTCAGTGGATTGTCAGTGGGGTGGCAGTGTGGGTGGCAGCGGGGCTGGCAGTGGGATGGCAGTGGGGTGTCTTTTCGCCCCTCCTTCGTGAGACCCCTATCACGTTTGGCTGCTCTAAGACGTACACTCCCCCACACTTCCACTCCCAGGCCTGCCATTGCCATCCTGTTGCTACTCGCTTGCCGATTCAGCGACAATCAGTGGGCTGGCAGTGGCATGCGCAGTGGGTCGGCAATGGTGTTGGCAGTGGGATTGGCCATGGGGTTGGCAACGGGATGTCAAAAGATGGGCCACGCGCCCCCTGGGCACCTCCGGTGGAACCCGAGCGTGTTCGCAGTCAGTGAGGCCCCCGAGCATCTCTCTGGCGGGGACCTGGCGGGTCGGCAGCGGAAATCCCGTCGGGACCCCATCGAGTTGTCCCCGAGTTGTCTGTGGGTCAAGGGCGGGTTGGCAGCGGGCCCTCCGTTGGGCCGGCAGTGGCAGGGGGGCCCTCCCAGGGGCTTTCAACCGACGTTGCCTCGAGGCGCTCTACTCGCCCCCTGGCGCAAGGACGACGAGGGCGCCGCACCTGCCGCGCCACTCCCCTGCCGCTGCCATCCCGTGCCCCAGGGCTGCCCGACTTCGCGCCCCGCGCCCCCGCCGAGATCCCGAGGCCCTCGGTGCGCGTGTCCGGCCCGGCCCAAACGGCACGAGCAGCATCGCCTCAGAGCAGGCGGCATTCTCGCTGACACTGCCCTGCCCCTGGGCGCCCCCCTGGCGATGATGCAGTCGATGTGCTACCATCTACGGAGCGCCAACTCAGGAACAGAGAGGGGCTCTTCTGGCCACGGCGAGCCCAGGTCACGAATAGGTTCCCCGACCCGAGCCCGAGGAGCGACTCGAAAACCAGAGCCCCTCCTGAGCCCAAACTGGTTGAGGGGCAACGAGAAGGGGGGACTGGCATAAGGGGGGAAACATCTACCCGATATCGGCGATACATCGTCGATAGATCGGCGACAGGCCCCCGATCGCAAATCCGAACGCTCCTGGGCGGAGTGGGGCCATCAGACCCCTATCGGCGATCAATGGGCGGTGGAAGGTCGATGCAGCCCGCCCTGTGCCTATCCCCCCCCCATCGTTGCCCCGAGCTGGCCATTCTTCCACCCCCTTGACTGTGAGGCCCTGGCCCTCCCGAGCGAAGCAGCGCGACGTGCGACCCCCGCGCCCGCCCCCACGCCCGCCCCCACGCCCGCCCCCACGGGTGCGAACGCCTGCCCAGCCCGGAGACTGCGACGCGGGACAAGCGCTGGCACTTTCGCGCCCCTGCGGGCGACTCGAGGCCCCCCACTCGGAGCAGCAAGACGCAGCCAGGACGAGGATAACATCGGGCGAGGATAACTCGAGAGTCTCTGAGATCCAACGGCTCTGGGGGATGTCCCGGGCGCCGCGGCCTTCTCAGAGCGTGCCAGAAAGCTCTGAGAGCGTTCTGGAACGCTCTGGAACGGATTTACCCTGGTCCTAGCCCCGTCCGGAAGCAAGGCGAGCTGAGACAATGGCAGCCAACAAGTTGGTCTCCGACTCCCTCCTGGGGGCCAGAGGCACCAGCTCTCAGGACCTGCGTCCTGCTCTGGCGACGAGGCCCCCCCCCCTCGACCGCCAGCTACCGCTGTCTCAAGTTGCCCCTGCTTGGACCCACCCTGCCAGTGCCCCCTAAGGCAGCCCCCCCTTCCAAAGGCGGCGCCCCCCTGGCTCCTCGGCTCCCGGTGGCAGAGCGGGGGGCGGGGCGGCGGCGGCGGAGGCGCTGGCGCTCCCGCCTCGGCGCGCGGCTTGCACGCGCACGGGGGGGGGCGGCGCTCAGGCCGCCGAGCTCTTCGGCCAGGACGCGTGAAGACCAGGGGCTGCTCGCACTACCCGGACCTCCAGCGTCTCCAGAGACTCACTGCGGATCCGTGCTCGCCGTCTTTGGCCCCCGGGGGGGCCCTCGCCATGCCCCGGGACAGTCACATGACACCCTTGCGGCAGAAGACCCTATACGGCTCCACGCAGTGACGATGCGGCCCACGAGGGGTGGTCACGATGGGGGGCCACGATTGGGGGATCTGGACGCGGATAGAGGTTTAGGGGCATGGGGCTAGGGATAGAAGGGGTAGGGATGAGGATATAGGGTAAGGTTACGCATAAAAGGGACACAGGCAGAGGGATAGAGATGCGGATAGGGATTGGGACGGCCACGGGAAGCCACCAAAGGCAATGAGAAGCAAGGTCGCCCGACCGATTCTGGATCCAGCAACGCACCTGCTAGTGTCTTCGAACATAAATGTAGCCAGCGCGGGCCCCCACATAGTGTGCTCTAGCATTTTATGTGGTGCAGAATATGTGGTGCAAGCTTTGTGATGCATTCAATGTAAAACAATGCATGTGGTGTAAGCTATGAGGTGCAACCAATGTGGTGCAACGTGTGTGTGTGTGTGTGTGTGTGTGTGTGTGTGTGTGGTGTGCACCTCCCGACATGGTTAAGACATCATGGGTTAAACCATTCATGGTCTCGCGCTGGCTGGTTTCTTAAATCTCATTAAGACATGTTCAGGGTCTGGCCCAGGGGCTCGGTATGTGCATGAATACATTCGACCGTGCACGATTGCGCGACGTGTGAACGGAGGCTGCGTTGACAAACATGGTGCGCGCATCTCTGGTCGGTCCTTAATCCGCCTCGTGGGGCTCAAGTGGGGTCCGAGCCCAATCCAAGCGGGGCCAGAGCCGAATCCAAGTGGGGCCCAAGTGGGGCCCGAGCCCAACTAAAGCTGGGCCCAGCCGAATCCAAGTGGGGCCCGAGCCAATTCCAAGTGGGGCCCGAGCCGAATCCAAGTGTGGCCCAAGTGGGGCCCGAACCCAACCCAAGTGGGGCCCAGCCGAATCCATCTGGGGCCCAAGTCGGGCCCGAGTGGGGCCCGAGCCCAAGCCGAATCCAAGTGGGGCGCAAGTGGGGCCCGAGCCCGACCCAAGTGGGGCCCAGCCGAATCCAAGTGGGGCCCAAGTGGGGCCCGAGCCGAATCCAAGTGGGGCCCAAGGGGGGGCCGAGCCCAACCCAAGTGGGGCCCGAGCCCAACCCAAGTGGGGCCCAAGTGGGGCCCGAGCCCAAGCCGAATCCAAGTGGGGCCCAAGTGGGGCCCGAGCCCAACCCGAGTGGGGCCCAGCCGAATCCAAGTGGGGCCCAAGTGGGGCCCGAGCCGAATCCAAGTGTGGCCCAAGTGGGGCCCGAACCCAACCCAAGTGGGGCCCAGCCGAATCCATCTGGGGCCCAAGTGGGGCCCGAGTGGGGCCCGAGCCCAAGCCGAATCCAAGTGGGGCGCAAGTGGGGCCCGAGCCCGACCCAAGTGGGGCCCAGCCGAATCCAAGTGGGGCCCAAGTGGGGCCCGAGCCGAATCCAAGTGGGGCCCAAGGGGGGCCCGAGCCCAACCCAAGTGGGGCCCGAGCCCAACCCAAGTGGGGCCCAAGTGGGGCCCGAGCCCAAGCCGAATCCAAGTGGGGCCCAAGTGGGGCCCGAGCCCAACCCGAGTGGGGCCCAGCCGAATCCAAGTGGGGCCCAAGTGGGGCCTGAGCCGAATCCAAGTGGGCCCCGAGTGGGGCCCGAGCCCAAGCCGAATCCAAGTGGGGCGCAAGTGGGGCCCGAGCCCCCTACCCAAGTGGGGCCCAGCCGAATCCAAGTGGGTCCCGAGCCAAATCCAAGTGGGGCCCAGCCGAATCGAAACATCAGGTTGCACAAACCACATGGTGTTTTAGATATACATTCGGGAGCCTCGGCTTTGAAATCCTTACGAAACCTAGAACACCTAGAACATTTGAGAATCTCCTGCATGCGCGCTACGACGCGCGCGTGCATTTCGTTCCGTTGTTCGCAAGGGAGTCGTGCAAACGGATGATTTTTGAACAGCAAGTGTGGCGAGTAGCATTATTTGACAAAGATGATGGGGGGGAGCCCGGCCTAGCTGGGATGGTAGCCAACATGCGGCGGCGACGGACGGCTGCGACGGGCCACCACAAGCTGGCTGGACCCAAGCTCACATGGGTGGCGGCGACGGGCGGCGACGGACCACCACAAGCCGGACGGACTGGCGCACAGGCCCAGATGAGCGGCGGCGACGGGCGGCGACGGTCCACCACAAGCCAGCCAGACCAGCGCACAGGCCCAGTTCCTTATGAGAGACATGAGAGCCCCTAAATGCAAGCGCTGTGTCGTGAATCCGCCGGCTCTTCTTGGTGTGCGAGATGCTTTGCCGTTTGAGTCGTCGTCGTTGTCGTCGTCGTCGTCGTCGTCGTCGTCGTCAGTCCCAACAAAATAGGGGAACAAGAAGAGGGAACGTCGTAATTAAGTCGATTCCCTTCCTTTTATCCCTTTCCTGCTGGGGGGGTGAGGGGGGGTGGGGGATGGGTGGGGGGTTGCTGGTGGTGGTGGGGGATGGAGGGGGGTGGTGGGGGGGTAGTCCTGGGTCAGAGTGCTGCCCCCCTTTCCTGGTCCCAGCGGGTCCGGCGGGGGTGGGAGGGGGGTCCCGGGTCAACCCCCCTCTGGGGTCCTGGCGGGTTCCAGGGGGATGGGGGGGTGGTCCCAGGTAACGCCAGGTCGTGGGGGTTGGGGGGTGGTGGCCTGGGGTCCGCATACCGGGGTCTCGGCGGGTCAGGGGGGAATGGGGTGGGTGGGTTAGAAGATCGCACCGCTCTGGGGTCCTGGCAGGTCCCAAGGGGGGGGTTTCCAGTGGGAGTCCTGGATGCGGTCTCGCCTTCAGGGTCGGCGGCAGCGGCCGTAAGGCCTTCGCAAAACAAAACCTTTCAAGACAAACTGTTGATGGCAAGACGACTCAGGATGAAAAGCAAGTCCCCGGGACAATGTCCAGACCTCCAGAGAACCCGCATTGAAAAGCTCAAGACATCGGATGCCTGGGGATGGCGGTTCCGCCTTTCCCCGCAATGTGCTGGGCCAGAAGAGCATTTCACCACGGCGTGGCGCGGCGTGCACACACAGACACACACACACACATATACACACAGACACATACAGACACACAGACACACACAGACACACCCACCAGCACCCACCACCCACCACCCACCACCCACCACCCACCACACACAACGCACAACACACACAACACACAACACACACGCACACACGCACACACGCACATCCACGCACACACAGACACACGCACACACACATCGTCAGTGAAACGAACCCCATCCAGCCGTGAGATGTGCTGCCATAATCTACGAACCTGTCCATAACACGTTCAACCTGTTTCATTGCAGGCGAACGCCCAGAGGGGAAATCTGACCAGAAGTCAAGCTGGGCCTCGAGCTTGACCAGACCCTTAGCAGTGGAATCCTGCAGCACGGAGCTCCGCTTCACTGCGATCGGCTTATTCTTTTCGTTTGTGGAATCGTTGATGCCACGCCGCAGATATCTGTAAATATCAATTGACGTTGCTCGATGCGCTCTGCTGTCATCTCCACTGGCGTATCTGCCGCTCCAAGATCCCTTTGATGTATGTGCCCAGACAGCGCTGTCGGAACCGAACGCGTCATCCATGGCCTCATTGGTGCGAAAGACCGATTACAGCACGTTCTCTGAGCTGAGAGGCCTCGCCACAACGCTTCGCGCCGCGATGTTGACAAGGTAATGCGCTTGCCTTTGCGACACCTTCCTGAGACCATTCTCGCCTTCGCCAGGCAGCTGTCGTAGCGCTGCAGATCTATGGATTCGCCTTTGAGCGCGTTGACTGGGCGACTCTCCACGAGGAATCAGACCTGGGTCTCATGCGCGTAGCTGGTCAGCTTGGTGCTGGCTCGTGTCCGTCAGCGAGACCAGCCCATCCAATCGTCCAACTGCTTGTCGACTTTTCCTGGCCCTGCCAAGCGAATCGACCAAGGTCTTCAGATCCTTGGTGATCGACTTCGCCCGCTTGCGCTGGAGCTGCTTGATCGCTGCTGTTGCTGCTAATTCCACCTCCAGTACGTGTAGTAGCTGGTAAAAGAATGACTGGTGCTCAATAGTGCCCTCGGTCTCGCACAAAACGTTTTCTTGTGCTACTCACGCCTTTGACAGAGCCAGCGCTTGGATCGCGTTGAAGAAAGCGCCGTGCATGAAGAGATGCAATCGTTGGCCAATCTACTGTGCTCACGGCCAATCTGTTTGACCAGCCTCGGCTTCCGCTTGCATTCTTCCCCCTGGATGCATTCGCCCAGTCAGGCCCCCTTTGATACCTAGTCGGCGACAAGTCGTCGACGAGAGGTGTGGTTACCATGGCCAGTCAATCACAACTGAACCAAGTGAGGCAATATTCGTTTAGCAATGCTTGCTCGCCGCATCTGTGATCACCCAAATACCCAAGTACATCGTGCATGCCGCTGGTCCGAGCAATGTTGTCCACAAGGCCGCATACATAATTGATTCTCTCTGCACGTCTTGTTCGGTGGGTTCGGCTGGAGTGTCAAGGCTACTGGACAAACTTACAAATAATCGCGTCTGTGACTGCCAGTGGACTGCGTGTCGAGGTCCGGTCAAAATAGGTCGTCCGCTGTGTTGACCACTATGTCGGGTGTCGTGCGTGGCGCAAGAGGCGAGGAAACGGGAAGGAAGGAAGGATGGATGAAGGCAGCGAGAAGGTGGGAAGAAATGAAATCGCGGAGCTGCCTTCGCATGATCCCACGGTCGAGGTATGCACATCGGTTGCATCCTGCACTGGGGCCTGTGGGCCCGGATGCCACCCTGAGACAATCCCTGGCGGGAGGCCTCTCAGAGGCTCCCATGCAGCTCCAATGG